TTTATCTTACCAAGAAAATTGAGAAGATGGAGAAGGCGTCATGCTGATGATCAGGAAATGTCTCAGCGATGAATAAATGATAGTGACACAGCTCTGTGAGTGCTGGCTTTCCGTTGGTGTTGTTTTCCTCCACTGCGTCAGAAACTATTAAGTCAGAGCTTCGTTTAAACCCCTGACCACTAGCGGAACAAGTCAGAGTCGGTTTTTAGCAAACATGAATCAATAATGACTGGGGCAGCCTGTTGTATAATCTACTGGGCCATCATGCTACATACACAATACTGGACAGGAGAGGTGTCGCTTTCTCCAGCTCTCATCAGATGTGGCTTGGCTCCCTGAAGTCATATTCTGGCTCCCATCCAGGGGCCCACCGCCCCCCTGGTTCCCCTGAAGCTCCGTCCCTGACCCTTAAGATTCAGCTCATGAGTCAAGAGACTTAATCAGTGTTAGTTCATTAACTAACGGGACCACTGGTCAGTCCGTTTGCTAGTCCTCTAGTTTGATTATAACAAATTCCTATCAGATATTGAATCATTTTTACACTATTCCTAAAAACCGAGGCATTGTTGGATCACTCTTTAATTAATAATTCAAAACTGTGTCTAAAATTAACACTGATTAGGCCTCGTTTATTGTAAATTAGAGAGTTTGTTAAAGGAGAATCATATGACAGATCTGGTGTGGATTAAGAACAAGACACACAATTACATGTAATTCCTCACATAAGTAATTTATGCAAATGCAATATCTTCCCTCAGAGTTGATTGGATTAATTAGATTTTGTCTCTGTGTATCAGATGTCAGATCCGTATTCGGTCGTCACTCTGCAAAGGTAAATGAAACCCCACAGACCTGTTCAATGTGGTGCAGAACTGCACGGATCATAATGATGCCACATATTTTCACAACTCATAACAGCAGAGTTCCTCTGTCTGATGTATTGCACACTCATCTGCACTGCAGTATTCTTTTAACACCGCTCCACCATCTACCAAAGCCACTGTGTGAAAAACTCCTTCGCTCTCTCTTGACTGGAGCTCCAGGTGTCTCCTCCTACATGTTTTTCTGCATTGTGTGTCATCCTGTGCTCATGTCCAAATCGACACTTCATAACATTTGCACATAAATTACATCCTGCACCTATCCTGCAATTCAAACAATTGATAAATAGAGTAGAATAGAAACAGCCTTCATTGTCCTGCAAAGGGGAAATTCGGGTGTAGCAATAACATCAGGTATGAAGGTTCACACACAATAAAAACTTTTTTTTTAAATGTGGAAAACGATAGAAATAAAAAACACTAAATCAAATGAAGCCAATATTATTACTTATTTATATGTTGCAAGCATTATTTAATTTTTTAAAGTGTAACATCCACTGTAATTTCATATATTAGTTTTTTTTTTTTTTAAACAGAGCAAACAAATCCTGCTGCTGTAGATTTTGCAGAAAATTAAACCAGATTCCGACCGTTTCAGGACAGACACAAATCATGTTTCTCTACCATCTGTCCAAGTATGGAAAGAATAATATTTATGTTTTCAGAATTTTCTTTATTTTTTTTCGGAAACAAAAAATTCCAAACTTTTTAGAAATGAATAGTCAAAGAAAACGAGGCTAAATCTGGATGGGTTAAGCAGGTCAACAGGATAAAGTGATAAAAGAGTCACATTTTGATCAATTACTGACTTAGTGACATGACATGAGTATCTTAGTTTTTGAGCACATCAGGTTTACGGTGTGATGGGCGGGAATCAGATAACAAATTAGTTTTTGTTGTGACTTTTTATGACTTGTCACTATTTCATCCATTAATGTCTTGCAAAAATCAATTTTCTTCATCGTGTTAAGCGAGGCAAATGTGGCGCCGTTGTCAGCTCTGTAGCTTTGCAGCAAGAAGGTGATGGACTGGCGACCAATCGATGTCGTAAGTCTCACACAACGACCAGTGGAGACGGGCATCAGCGACCCGGTTTAGAGGACAGACAGATAAAGGCTCAGTGGGTTTCATAGTCATTTCTGTGAGAGCCAGTTTGGATAATCAGCTGTGAACATGCAGCAGCTTTAGTGCTGTTCTGATGACAAGCGCACACTTCAGATAAAACCCTCACACGCGACACAGCACAACCCATTTTTAAGAATAATTTATGTGTCAGAATCCCACAGTTGTATAAATAAATAAACTTCTCGGCTTTTGCTGTGTTGCTCAGTATGTTTCTGTTTTAATAAAGGAATAATTGCTCAGCCGTATACTTGTCTCTTTGTCACAGATGGGGAGCAAACACATCTTGTTGTGTTATAGACGGTATTATTATGGCATTATCCAGGAGGTTTTTTGCCCAGCTGGTTAAACATAATTATTTGGAGCTAATTATAGGACTGAAATATAACAGTTCAGCTTTGTTTTCCAGCTGCATCTGACTAGATAAAATGAGTGTTTATTGTTGGCATGATGTTAAGCAGATTATTATTAACATGATTTCATCCAGCTCTGAGGATGCAGCAGCTGATTGCTTTACATCCTTTAAATAAAATTCATTTTCTTCAATGACATGGAGAAGATTAAAACCATCTTACCGAATCCAATGGCTTTTAATGAGATTTTCTTCATGAGTGAAAGAAGTGGAAGAACATTTATTGTGAAAATATAATTTTCCTTCATTGCCAACATTTCTTTAAATACAGCAGTTACAATTAAATAAATACATATTTTCTTTCCTGATGATATTTATTTTTGGATTACAGATTAATAATTGGATCATAAATGATCTTTAATAAGAAATAATTTTTTCAGAATGTGAATCGGGTAGAGCAAAAACTGGGCCACTGGACGAGTTCTGGGTAAATCAAATTGTCGGACCAAAATGTTCTTTTTTTTTTGACTGAAATGTAAAATTGATGTATTTTTGTACAGTTTTTCAGCAATTACCCTTTTGTGTTGTGTCTATATACTCAAGTTAACGATAAATCCATTTCTAAATTAGTTGACAATTACTTCAGCAATCGTTTCATCGTGATTAATCGCTTCACCCCCAGTAAGATCTCCAGTTTCTTGACTCACTCTGTAGCTGTGTGACATGTGGATCTTTGTCCCAGCCCGCTCAGTGTGGACTGGACCTGAGACACGTCACCGTCATTGAGCTGGTTGGGACTTATCCAGCTCAAGTTGGCCGAATCCGCCACAGGCTTCTCCCGCCCGGGCTGGCCCTGCAGATCAGGTACTGACACACACACACACACACACACACACACACACGTGCGCACGCAGTCGTGTGTAACCTCAGCAAACATGACTTTAACCCGATGTGCGTTTCCTAGGATACTGCTCCGGATCCCCCAGAGGTCGTTCCAAATGGTGCTGGTGGACAAGCAGGGCATAGACAAGCAGCGCTACCCGTTCCCCATCACGGCAGCTGAGTTATTCACCACCATCGACACGTTCCCGCTCCGCAAGGACGAGATGGTGTTACAGCAGGAGGCGGGCCAGTTCTGTCAGTCATAAAACAGGAGCTTCCCTTCGTGGAGCGTTGATCTTTTGTTGCTCCACAGACACACACAGCTCAGATCGTTGTGTTTTTTATGCCACACACTCCTCTCTGAACTCCTCCTGTCCTGTATCCAGTGTGTGTTTGTGTGTGTTTCTGCGTATGATCAAAGATGTCTGGCGTGTTGCTGATCTGAAGCTGGTCTGAACAGATCACACAGTGCTGTGCAGTCACATCGAGGGCTGTCACTGTGTGCTTTATTTTATTTTTTATATATTTTTTCAGAGCAGAAATATGATTTACTATTTTGTAAAAAAGAAGAAATTTTGGGAAAATTTCTATTCTTTCTAATATTTATGTCTTGCGTCTTACTTTGCGATGTACTTTGAATTCATAAAACTAATAAAGAATGAGTAATGCGGATGTTGTGCTTCGCGGTGATGTTTGTTTTTGTGAGTCAGTTTATTTCTGTGGCAAAATCTCCGTCATCATGATGTCATTTGGGTTATTTTTCAAAAAATGATTCTTCAGACACACAACGTGTGTCTGAAAAATGTTTTACTTTGGCTCCATTGAAGCAGAAGACTTTCTTCAACGTACCAGTTGTTTCCAGATTCACACTGTGCACATAAAAGAAAATTTGGCTTTGGATAACTTTCTTACTCACTAAATGATACTAATATTAATTGTCCATTCAGGGTGAATGAGCATGGCCAGGCATCATTTTAAGATATTAAACTTTTTTCTTTAGATTCTTAAACCCAGGAAGGTTGATTTGCAGCCTAACTCCGCTTTAAATTTTTCTCTGACATTGTTTATTGTGTTCCCTGTTCTTCATGACGCTGTTTCTTCTCTAACAAACCTTTTATCATTATATTATGTTAAAACTTTACCCAGGTGGAGTCTGTTAATCTGAAAGCAATTCGTTTTCCTCTGGATTTTATAGGTGCTTTGGGGCGATGGGTGGTAAATAAATATGGATGCCACAGAGCTTTTTATTTGTAAAAATTCATGTGTTCTCCTCCTTCAGCTTTACAATATTAGGTCGACTGAACAGTGTGGCAAATATTTTTTCAAGATGAAAGAATGACTTTGGAGCGAGAAATAACTCCTGCTAATTAAGGCAGTGAAGAGTTTCCTGTGTTTTTACATAGCAAATATGAAATACTTCAAATATCAAACATGCCACTTATATAACAGCAGATGTAACCATGGATGGGCGTTCTTTATTTTGCCTGCCTCATGCTCAGAAAAAGATCGGTATGCTGTTTTAGACATTTTTCTGCCCAGGGTGGTTATAGCTAAGGGATCAGCTATCTTCATGTGCTGAGAAATGAATCAGACCTTTTCTTTTTTTGGTTACATGACTAATGCATGATTGTAACCTTCTCATGCATTCATCTTCTGCTGTCAGCTGCGGATAAAACTGGAGCTAAATAAGCAAATGTCACACCAGACTTGTTGGGTTGAAGCCTGAAAATCTGCTTCCAAAAAACACGAGAAGCACCAATCAGTCAGATATATATTTTTTAATATCAGTAATATTCTTCAAAAACCATATTACAGACTATGGAAAGATGCATTTATCTCAAAATGTTCTTGAAGCACATTTGGGAGAAGATAAGCTTTTTGAAAGGTGAGTTTGATGACCAGAACCAGACACGAGAGAGAGATGGTACATGCAGCACAGAAATATTTTCCTCTGGATTGAGACTTTGCATCAGATTCTTGGTCATGCTAAAGGGTCAGGACGTGAATTTTAGTTATTACTACTTTGTATCTGGGAGTTTCGAGCAGACGTTTACAACTAGCATTCCACATGAAATGAAGGTTGTTGTTTTTGTTTTTTGTTGTTTTTTTTTTCACCTGGAAACGTTTCGGTGAACTGCAGAACGCATCACAGAACGAATGATCACGGCGCCCCGGGCAGCAACGACAAGGTCGGCGTCTGACTATCAGCGGCTCGTGATCGGTCCCCACTCCCTGAGATGATGGCAGCTCACGTTGGTGCTGACTCACTCTGCAACACGCAGACCCGGCTCAGGGTTCCTGAGAAAACGCCGCAGATCACACCTTCTCCTCTAGGTGCAAAGTGATGTCAGCATCAGTGCTTTGTGTAACCTTCTTGTTCCTCTACCCTAATGAACACACTGATACAGTGTTATGTAACTTTACAAAGAAAGATAGTCTGAATTTTCTAATTAGACAGGACTTTTGTGCCACATTTTATATATTTTCTTTCAACCAGAGGGGGAAAGCAGATAAACTCGTCTATAAAGGGATGACTCTTGACCCCACTGTTTAATAGACCAGCAGCTGCAATACAATTGATTTAATAGACAATTTGCTCCACTGCTAATTCTGCTTACATTATTACTGCCTACACTGAGCTCATTTTCATTATTACAGTGTACAAGTGGTTTGAAGTCATGACATAAGAAAACATAAAAATTACTGCAATTACTTTTTAAAACCTCTGTTTCCTACTCGTGATTTAGCTTGCAAATTCTCAAGAATTATTAGGACGAAATTCATAGGAAAAATCCTAATATTTTGATTCAGGTGTTGCTGTTTTGAGGTAAATAGTTTCTCAGTATTTTTGCTCTTACCCTATGGACAGTCTTCTGTATTTTTGTTTTCTGTTATACAACCAGGAGCAGCTGGTTACCATCTCAAAATCTTAAGTAATACCTGAGCTTTACCAAAGAGCTCATGTCAAAGTAAAGAGAAGACAGGATTCAAAGGGAAACCACAGGTGTCCAGGATTTTGTGAAAACTATCATTTAAATTTTGAAGACAAAAAATAAAAGATACACGTGAAAAGCAGCATTGAGCACTTTGAGAATTGACTGGCTTCCTTCTGTTTCCTGAAAGCTGGAGCTGTTCGCTGTTCTTCACTTGGCAATTTTCCCACCATTAAAATTTTGAACAAATATTTTGCATTTTCTTTACACCGGCATTTTTACTTTCTGGAGAAATTTGTGTCGAGGTAATTCACATCAACAAGAACTAAAAAAAAAAAGGTTTTCCAAGATATTTTGCAAAAATATCCATCTTTCATCAATATGAGATGATTGTGCTCTTCACAAATCTACTCGGGTTTTCTACAGTAAGTTCTCTGGTTTCTTCTACTGTCCAGAATAATATTAATCTTAGAAAGGAAGGTGTATGAATATCTGTATCATATGTCCTCATGTAAAAGATTGACCTGCTTTTCCCCTCAGTATGCATTACTGGCAATGAGATATATACAAGCAACAAGACTTTGTTGCTCATAGAGGGAATGTTTATACATAGTTTTAACCAATGCCTCATCTAATACACCTTTAATCATTTCTATTAGCTGTTACTACATGCAGAAATGACCCACAGACGAGACGAGGACAGGGACATCAGGAGTAACCATGTGCTTATCTATAAGTTACACAAAGTTAAATACAACACGGGTTTCCTAAGAACAGCAGTGCTTGGTCAAGACAGATGCTTTGGGAGGGAAGAGGGGCACATGTGGGTGAGAGAGTAAGGCATGACTGGCTGTGGTGGACAGGAGAGGAGATCTGAACAAGAAAGAAAGTAGAAAGCGGAGTGGTTCCAGTTGAGTCACTGCTTGCTTTTTTTCTTGACCCGTCGACCTCTCCAGCTCTCTCCCCACAACGTCAGACCGTTTCCTCCGCTTCTTTCCCTCCCTGTAATTTGCTCTTCCGTTGTGCTTCGGTCTAAGTTCATGTGTTGCACTTGCGCATGCTCGACCGCAGCATCAGCGTGCACTCTTGAGGAACCTCTGGGTTTTCAATCATGCGCTGCCAGACCTGCTGCTCTTCCCCGAACGAGTCCATCCAGTCCACCTCATTCCCGTAGCTTTTGCCTTGAGGAAAATGAGACAGATATTTGGTTCAGCTTATCAATATATCTAAAGGTAAATCCTGTAAGAAAACTGGTAAACAACTTAGCAGGCTTTTGACCCCAAGGAATAATTAAAGCATATTTATGTGGCCCAGTTAAAGCACATATTCAACTGAGAGTATGTGGCAGTACTTAAAATATTGAAGTTCAGAGTTGCTTTCCATCCAGTTTGGCAGTTTTCTCAAACATATCCAAAAGCTTGCACAACAACAAAACTGAATATTTCAAGGGGTTGACAGGCACATTTCTGGAAAATATGTAGAACTTTCCATCCACATAATAATGCTGTTAGTTCATGCTGGTCTATTAAACAAATCCCAATAAAATACACAGACATTTCCCCTTATAATGTCATAAAAATCCCAAAAAGCTCAAGAAGTGTGAATAGTTTTGAATGCAACCCAACAAGCACAAGTCAGCTGGTATTTTCCTCTCCTACCTGTCCCTGCTCCCAGCCTGACTCCTCCTAGGAAAACATTGCTGGACAAAGCCTCTTTGTCCCACACGGTCAGCTCAAGGCAGATGTTGTTGAGGTCTCCGTCCTGCAGGCCGCAGTAGGTGAAGGTGTGGTTCCACTGCGGGTTCACAGTGCGCCGCTCCACCGCCGTCTTGTGCTTGGTTGACTTGTTATTGTCCGGGAGGAGGTATCTGTGGGAGAAAGTTTACAACCTCTCGTTACTCTACTGTGCGGCTGAGTGTCTCTGTTCTGTGAACTCAGAAAGTGAGTCAGTGAACACAAAGTAAAGATTATTTAGGGCAAAACTATTGCCTGCAGCAGCAAGCAAGAATCAAAAGATGAAGAAAATGAAGTGGCAAAGTCTTAAAACATTAAGCAGCTTGAAGGAAAACATACAAAAAGTTGTTAATTGAATATAAAAAAAACACAAAAAAGTTAGAATGATTTCTTTTTGATGTGTCTTTCAATGTAAATTTTCAAGGTTGCCAATAGATAAGTAATTTCAAGGCAACCACAAAAAGGCATAAACTGAGACAATTAGCAAAGAAAAGGAAAAAGGACCAGATATACCAGACATACAAACAAATGACAAAATGAGCATTGAAATAATGAAACATCACATAAGATATGTCACAAAAGTACATAAAAGGAAAAAATGAAAAAGACAAGAGAGAGCCAGTAAAAACACTTCATAAAAAGATTTTTGCAAAATAGATTGATTGAAAAACACAGAAGCAAACATATTAAAGAATGCAAAAACATTTTTAGGGTTGTGTGGTTTTGCTGATGGTGGTTACTGATTTTTCAGAAGAGTAAAGGTACATTTTACTTTTTTTGTAATTTAACATATTTACCAGGTTGGTAAATTAGTAAAAAATGAACTGGATGGTGGAGGTTTTACAATACATACATGTTCATATATGAGTGTAAAAGTCTTATTTTCCAGAAAACCTGAATCTCTCCTGACAATAAAGTGAAGAACAGAGTCTGGAAAATCAATTACTTTGCCATACTCCTCTTCTTTTATCCAGACTTTTAGAAATGAAATCCAATTCCACACTTTCCAAGCTCCATAATATCTACTTTTCCACAAGAATCCTGAATATTATTAAGATTTTGTCTTGACAATAACGACTGACAATTTCATAATCATGCATCCACTATGCAGAATAACTATCAACACGCTTATGTGTCTGACCATAGGAGCAACACTAAATGTGTCTCCTCAAACATCCCAAGCTGTGTCCTGAATCTCATCTCACCCTTTCATCACATCTCACCCTTTCACAAAAGGATCCGAAGTGCCTCCAGACTTGACCGCTGTTAGATTTTTGGCCCCTTTGACCAGCAGCTCGACCATGCCCCCTTTAGGCAGCGTGAAGCTGCTCGTCTTCTTGCCTTTCAGGAAGCTCTTCTTCACTGCAAAGAAAACCGATTTGTCAGCACACATGATTTCAGTGCCGTACTTAAGAGACTACTGGGAATTAAAAAGCTGTATGTGAAAGACTTGATCTCAGATGTGAAGGAGTTCCGTTTTTAGCTGCCGACAACTCAAAAAATGAGTCATAAATAAATAAAAACCTACAAGAAGAAATGTGTTTGACAATTCTCGGAGGGCTCAAGGTTTCTACACCTGAAAACAAAAACACCAACGACAAACACATTCACACACACTGATCACTTTAGCTGATAATTAAGCTGCCTGTAAACATACAAACGCAAAGAATAAAAGCTTTAAAGGTCCCATGAGAAATGAAAATGGTGTAAAGTATTACTCAGGAGCACTGTACTTTAGCTCTAAAGTGAACAGAAAATGCGACATATATTAGGTCTAATATTTCACAGCGTCATAAAAGAAGTCTGCATCTGGACGATCGATGACCCTTGAACCTATCCATTTTAATCAGAGCTGTGAGTGTGATGAATGCCTGGATGAATCAATCAAAGGAAGAGTGTGACAGATGGCATCCGGAGGTGTGAGGGGTGAAACAATACCCCTATTATTAAGAGTGGACTGGGTAGCAAGCCGACAGGGACCATTTTACACATAAAAAAATATCTGAATATAAATCTGTTTGAGTTTAAGAAGGAACAATTTTGTTATTTGTCTCTGGGAATAAAAAGATTCACTGTAAATGCTTCTGTTGAAGTTGACAGATACCAACTAATAATATTTTTACCCCTTGATTGGGATCTAAGCCATTCAGATCATCTCTGAATCTCAAAATAAATAAAGAGACGATATTGGACATACGGTACTTGCATGAGGTTTACATCGAATCTGTATGAGCATGAATTTATTCTTTTATGGCTCAAAAACTTTTAAGAGCTAGAAATGGTTTGAAATAAAAAAAGAGTGAAATGCATAAAATACAAACTCTATGCCCTGAGGTTTAAAGAAATGCTTCATAGCCACCAAGAAGGATCTAAGACTAATTCTGGGTGGATATTTGAAAACTCTTCTATGCTTCATTTAAATTGCTTAAATGCCTGGTGTGAATCTTGGATTTGTGAAAGGTTTGAGGTCTAGGATTTGGACTGAGAAGGTTACTGACAGCCTGTTTTAGAGATTTCTGTATTGATGGAGGACAAACTTGTGTGCTTCAACAGAACGATTGTATCAATCTGACCCAAACTCAATCTCTGAGATGAAAAACAACAACAATAACAAAACTGGCTATAGAAATCAAGAAACCGTCAGGATGAAACATATCTTTCTAAAGCCACAACCTCCGATCGACTGAAATTGTATTTTCAGTAATTTATTTTATTTTGAGCTCGACAATTTCTGAAATGAACAGATATCCATCCAGAATTTTGCCAGAAGCCCATTGATGTCAACTAAAAGCAAATAATCAAGGTGTAACTTGGTAAGGGACATTGAAACAAACATTAGTGGGGGTGTCTTTATATTTCTGAGGTATAATTTTGACCAGTGTGAATTAAAGAAAATCCACAATAAATTCAATAGTTTAGAAAATGATTAAAGTTGGTGTGTTAGCTTTCTGCCCTGGAAAAGGAAACGCTCAAATATAAGAGCGAAAAACAACATCACCTGTGCATGTGAACCTTCATGGACGGTTTCAGTCATTTAGGATTTCCTGTTAGCAGATAAAATGGGCCAAACCTGAACCTGAATTTGAACAAGTATTCATTGCATTTCATTTTGAGTCATATCTAGAAGCAGGGTGGCGACATTTCCCAGGGAAGCAAACAAACAAATCCCCAGCTGTGAAAAAAATAAACAAACTTCCGTCAGCACGGGCAGCTGAAGATTACAGTAAAATTAAATTTTTAAATGCAGCAGGAGGTGTTGAGTATTCGGCTGTATCTAATTTACTGTGGGTGAAATAATTTATCCTGATAAATTAGTTTTGCATGAGACTTTGAATCCACCTAACAGACTAGCAGGGGTTGGAGTGTATACTTAGGCTTAAATCTGTGTTGGCGTGGATGCGAGTGTGTGTGTGTGTGTGTGTGTGTGTGCGTGTGTATTCAGCTTCAGCACCTGTTTATTGAAATAGATTAGAGTTTGTCCAGGCTAATGCTTGTTCAGCTGCAGGTAAAACTCAGAAAATGACTAAGTACCTCATCTACATACAGTTCAACATGAAGTTATCCCTTTAAAATGATATTAATCAGAAAAAAACCCATTGGACTGCAAGTCCAATGGGGTTGAGTTTTGTCCTTTGTGTTTTACAAATGAACATTTTCACATCCTACTTGCTAAAATAGAAAATAATCTCAACAATTTTTTCCCGGCTTTGCAATAATAGGTGATGAAATGAGAGGAAGTAAAGGCAACTTTTTAATAGCGACTTGTTGGGTCAGATGGAACCGAGTGTTTAATTATCGCTCAGACTGGGTTAGGAGAAAACTGTATTCATGCTTGTTAAAAATGATCGGCTGGCTGGTGGATTACTCATTATTACAAGCTCCTGCTGTGCTGCCAAACAGCATCCTCATCCTCAGAGCTTCCTTTTATAGATCAGCAAAAGAAATAATAACTTCCAGAAAAACAAACTTAGAAAGCGGCTGGGATATTTCAAACTAAAATTAATTTAAATTCCAGCCTGTTAAAAGTTGATCAGCAGACCACATCAACTCATCATGGGTGTGATTGTCATGTTATTTTCCTATTGATTCAGTTTACTACTTTTGTCCAAGGAGAAAAGGTGAAAGTTTGAGTAACTTTCTTTCTGGTTTATGATAGGTTCAGATTTTGACAATAATTGTCTCTGGACATCCAAACGCACTTTCTGTCACCTGTGATTTCACTGAGATCAGCTCGGTGTTAAACATACCTTGAACCTGGTCCAGAGGCAGTGTGAGGTTTTTCTCTGCAGGAATGTACTTTAACACGACAGTCAGCTCTCCTTTGTAGTGCATGGTGGAGTCAGCGCTGCTCTCTACCTGCACACACATGCATAAAATACGCTGAAGCATCTGAAGCTGCTTTAAAGGAAGATCATATATGACAAGGTGTACTGCCGCTGGCTCCTACCCTGGGCTGCAGAGAGTACCACTCCTCTATCTGAGAGTCGAACTCCCAGGAGTCAAAGGTCAGCTCCACTTCTCCCAGGAAGCTGTTGTATCCAAAGCGGTCATGGTGCCACACAGACACCTGCAGGGTTCGAGTCTCCAGCTGCGAGTGGCTGATCACGTACTGAAAAACGGAGGAGAACAACAGCTTGTCGAAATCTATCATTCAGACTCGTCAGCGCTGATTTTCTGTGACTGACTCTCAGGTTCTCGTTAAAAACCGGGTTGATGGTGTTGGGTCTGATGCTCGTCTTCCTCTTGCTCTGGCGGGACGTGTCAGGAAGCAGGTAGGTCTTCACATACCTACCAAAACAAAGTCCTTCTGTTTTTCCCCACACTGACAGGACTCCATGCGGAGCAAATTATCATCAATTGTCATCAGAAAACCTCTTACGCGTCTGTGCGCTGCCTCCTGTCGTCTCCCGTTGCCAGGTTGTAACACTTTTTCACCAGAATGTTGAGGGCGCCTGTTTTGTAGCTGTAGCTGATGTTGAGGAGAATCTCGCCGCTCACCCTGGCGTTTCCGTAGTCGCCCGTCTCGCTGTACATGCTCATCATGCTGTTGAGGCTGCTCTGAGATGCCAACACGACAGATAAGACATGAGATGAGGAAGAGGAGGAGACGCAGATCCAGTATTTGTAATTCCCATCACCTCAGCTAATGGTTTATGGGAATAGATGGAGGATTTATAGCACAAAAATGAGATGTTCTCAGAACTACAAAACGTAATAAACTGTACAAAACAAAACCTTTTTTCATAGGAAGATGAACAAATGTGCAACAAAGGATCAAATAAGGAGATTTATGAACAGTACACAATAAACTAGGGGTTTATTTCAGCTAAATGAAAATCATTCAGAGCCGCAACATCATCTTCTGTAAAGGAAAAGAAAAAAAAATTGGGTAAATATTTACCACAGAAAAATTGCTGTAATTTATCTGCAATTTATCTTTCAGTGCATTTATTCCACGAAAGAGTAATGGCTAGAGTCAGTTGGTTCTTTGACATTTTAGCCAAGGTTATTAAAAGCCAATTTGAAAGGCCCACAGACTGCAGGCCCCTGCACTAAATCATGAGTGAAATGCAGAATAAACATACAATAATGTGACAAGAAGTAATTAAGATCAACATCAAATTTAATCTGGTATTTTCTTTCAGAACATCAGGATTTACAAAACAATGTTGATCATTTCACCTCTTTGTCATTTTGTAGTTTTTCCCACAAGATGGGTAAAAGTACACATTGTGATGTGCATTCATTTGACAATCTGAAGCAATTAAGTGCAAAAAGTAGAAAAGCCTAAAGGGGAGCGGACTCTTTCCCACACCACTATTTAACCAGATAACAGAAAACAGAAAATGAGAACAGTTAAAACCGCAGCAGTGTGGTATGTTATTAGAAAGCTTGTGCTCAGCTGCGATGCTGTGTTGACTAAGTTTTACCCTTTTCAAACCAGAGGAACAAACCTAATTGTGTCTCTTGCACAATGCATACGTACAAACTTAATTTCTCTATGAAGAAAAGAGTCCAAACCACATCGGTAACAGCAGGTAATTAACTCTGGAATAAAACTGACTGCTGGTAAACAGGAGGAGATAAAACCGTCTGGACCCAGCTGGAATTAATCCATGCTGCTTTTCACAAAAAGGGAAGTTTGCTTCATGTATTTCCTCCAGCCACCGACTGTGATGAAGACTTTTCTCTTGTAGGGACTTCGGGAAATATTAGCGCAAACGTCCACTGAGCCAGGCAGTTGACTGAAGGCAAGGTTTTTATATATTACTGAGCGACAAGTGCAATATTTATGCTCCAGTACTGCTGCATCTTTAATGTAGCAGGAAAACATCAGCATGCAGAAACGTGAAACACGGAGACTCACAGTCTCAGCATCCGAGTCGGGGATGTTTAGGTACCCCCACCTTCTTTCTGTGCCAGGAGTGGAGGACTGGATTCAGAATGAGCCGGGAGGAGAAGAAAGAGAGCCAAAGGAAAGGAGCAGAGGTTGTTGAAGCAATAACACAACACAGCAAGACTGACACCAGAAAACCCCCATCATGCACACACTGTTACCGTGGTGATTATCAGATAAAACCGCAGAGATTAAGAGTGGTTGGAAATCAGCGAAGCTGGACAGCGCAAACAAGCAGCAAGATAAGAAAAGTGGATAAATGTTTCTGTTCTCACTGAACCACAGAGAAGTCAGAGAGATAAGAAGCACACATCAAAATGGAGTTATTTTCTGGATACTTTTCATACATTATATACACATACATGTCAGCAAATTAGAATATTATAGAAACCATCAATTATTTAAGTAATTCTGGCTATAGCTGTACAGCTTTATGGCTGATAAAACATTAAGAATTTTACCTATTTGGATTTTAAATACAGATAGCTCATCCCATTCACGAGTATTGTATGTACTCAGTACTTGATTGAGACTAATTTTGCATGAATTACTGTATTAGTGCAGTGTGGCATTGAGGGGATCAGCCTCAGGATGTGTAAAAGTTCCAGAGGCGTGAATCCATATGAAAGACAATGTATGTAAATCGCTTTTAAGTGAAGAATCAGTAGATAACAAAAATGGTAACACTTTATTTGAAAGGGTGTCCATAGGGCTGACATTACACTGTCATAAACATGGCATAACAACAGTCATGAACCTGAAGGAGTCTTTATAAATGTTTAAGACTGTTGTCATGAAATGTCTTTCTGTAAATAATGACATTTTAATGCAAAGTTGATTCTTTTAATTGACTTTTAATGTGAGTTTTAATGCAAATTTTTTTGTTATTTAACAAATAATGCTAAGTTGACACTTTTAATGCAACTCTTAATGCACTTTTGCATTAAAAGTTGTATTATTTACCAAAAGACACTTCATGACAACAGTCATAAACATTCATGAAGACCTATTCATGATATTGACAGTGTAATGTTACATTTATGACAGTGTAATATTAGTCTTATGCACACCCCTTCAAATAAAGTGTTACCCAAAAAATGTAAAACATCAGCTTAACATGATATATCTGTTATTTGCCATATTTGTATCAAACATCTGGTGAACCTCTGAACATCTGCACCAATAAATCCTGTGGAAACAGGACATTCCTTCTGGACTTACATTTCTACATTCTCCACAAATGAGACGGCAGAAGTCTCTCAGTTACACCGCGTGAAAGCTTGCTTTCACCGCGCACGTCACTCTGATGACACGAAGCAGGAATCCTCCAGCATCGCACACTGTGACTGCGTCATGTTAGTTTGCTTAAATGCAGCAGGTTTGTGAGCGTGGGAGGCTTTCTTGACATGGCTCATCCCGTGTTGGCACAGTCAACACAGAGAGAGCAGAAATGTCTTACTCTGAGGGCATGTGTGCACAAGGACCAGGGCCGTGTCTGACATGTAGGACTTTCCAGAGGCTGTTTTGTTTGTGTCCTTGTTTGTGCTTGTTTTTACTCGGCGTTACCGTTGATGCGGCATTGCTAAGGCGTCCGCCCCGACTCAGGCTGTGTGCCGACATCAGGGCATCGATGTCCTCCTCTGCGTCCTCGTCGGAAAACTCCTGCAAGAGATGGTGATGAGATGAGCGTGACATCTGGAAGGTCTGATCCAAACGTCGCTGAGTGGGCGGATGGAGCTGGGCCCGGCCTCTGTAAATTCAATCAGTCAAATCCGGACACAGCGTTGTAATCTGGTTTTCACGTGTTTGAAACCACGACGTCCCTGCTTTTACAGTAAACCCGAGAGCTTGGCTGGAAGAGTGGGCGAAGGAAGACAGAATCAGTGAGTGTTTCTCTGAACTGCTTCAAATGCAAATCCGTGAAGACGAAACAAAGCGGCGCCACATGCTGGCCGCCTCATCCTTCCTTCACCATTTGCAAACTACATGTGCTTAGATGCTCTTTGAAGTGAGCTCTGATGTGAAATTAGCATTCGAGCCTACAGCTGACGGATCCCGTGAGTTTATCGGCCCACACATCTCAAGTTTGACGCGGTTACACAATAAAGTACGTCACAGGTGAGGATTTGAGAGAGGTCAGGACTGAATATTCACTATTTGTTAACTGAATCAGAGCGAATTTGTTGGGAGAAGTGTGATCACTGAGCGGAAAAGATGAGACAAAGCGACCGCGCTCACCGCTTCGTTGAGCCCGGGGACTGAGCGGCTCCTGAGGCTGAGGGCGTCGTCGCTGTGGTCAGATCCCGGAGCTGACAGGTCCATCTCTGAGTGGCTGTGATCTGGTGCAGGGAGGGAGGGCAGAGGAATGAATAAAGAGGCGGGTTTCCAAGTTTGGTAGGTCAAAAGATGGAAAAAGTTGAGCAAAAATTAAGAAGCATATCAAATGTAAAGGACGTTAAAGATCAAACATTTAATCTGATGATGTGGGACTTTTTCTTATTGATTCCCATAATCTTGGCAGCAGCATATTTCCTCTGGTTTGGAGAAATCTGACATGCTGAAGTCCTTTTTAAACCATTTTTGATTTGAAAACAAAAACTCTAAAAGACTTTTTGAAGACGTGTGACAGAATAACGCTGCAGTATGTTCCCAATTTCTTAAAAACGAGAAAAAATTTGATTTATCGGGGGTAAATACTTATGGAAACACTTTTTAAAATAAATATTTTCATTTAATTGTCATTATTTTTGCAGAAATCAGTTTCACATCAACATGCAAGGTGGGTTTTTTTTTGCAATTTTTTTTGTCCAAATTTTATTGCTCATTGGTTTGTAAAAGGAATAATTTTTCGCCCGTAAGTCTTTCAGTTGTTTCTTCACATTTTGGGCGATAAAACACACGGTCAGCATCTTTGAGGAGGTTGTTGTTGCTGATTACCTCAAACCTTAAAGCATGAAGCTGATGATTAAATCCCAACAAACTGTAAAATGCCTCACTAAATCAGACAATGTGAGTAACAGGCTTAGTTACATTTGATTTTATGGTCTTTGGCTTCAGTGAGGCTTAAACAATAGATTAAATAGACTAGATGTTAATTATTGAGCTCCAGAGCCACATGGGATATTTCCTGATCTTTGCAGGGAGCTGCTGCTGTTTTCCTGCCTTGTAGTTTTTTTTTTTTTTTTTTTTTTTGCTAAGCTAATTGCCCTCAGGCTCTGACTCAATACTTAAAAAAAAAAAAACTAAACTAAAAATGATTTCCTCTCAGTCTACTGTTTTTTTTTCTCTTGAAGCCACTGAATTATTCCTCTGTGCATGCCAGAAAAGGGAAACTAGAATTTAAAATGATAAGAGATCAAAAACTTTAACCCAAGCTGCTTCCTGCTGACACAAAGCAGAGGATCAGACACATCCTGCAGAGGGACCAAAATCATTACTAATCACATAGTCTGCTAATTAAATCAAACAAAGGATCTGTGATCTGAAACGCTACAGGAGAGAAAACCCTCCGCCCTGACGGTTCTGCATATACCGCCTGACATCTGTGGTCACGACTGGAGGTCTTCGTTAAAAACCGACGGCCCTGATCAAAGCCATCCTAAAAGCTTCACAGACTCCAGTAAGAAGCTGAGATAAAGGCTCTGACAATGAATGAGACAAAGAAGAAGAGATTATACTTAAAAGAACAGAAGAACAGCAGCTTGGAGTGAAGGAGCAGAAGTTAATGGTGTAATTTGTGGAGACGTGACTTGTGCTCTCAGCAGAGGGACTAATTTTATCCTTCCTAAGACCCTGAACGCGCCGAGTCGTCTCTCTCTGTGGTGGACTCAGAGAGTCTAGCATCACCTCTGAAGTGATCTGCTGCCTCTAGCACTTCACGAAGCTGTGAGCCGCTGACCAAAAACTTTGAGCGTGTGAGACGCCAGCAGGAGTCGTGGATGTGAGGGTGAAGACAAACAGGTCCACGTTGCTACCTGACACCACAGACGCGCAGGAGACGGAGATGGTCGGCGTGGCCGAGTTAGCGAGCTGAAGTCCCGTCCCTTCCTTCTCAGACAGACCCTCGCCGGAGCGCAGGCTGGCGACGCTTTCCGCTCCGTCGGGCTGCGTTCAACGACAAACACACGGGCTGCTGGAATAAACGCTAACCTGAACACTTCATTTGGCGCTGAGTGTCTGTTCGGGTGCTACTGTCGCTGACCCTGACCCTCCGGTTGTTGCTGGGGTTGGGTGATTTATCTGGAGTTTGGGAACGGAGATTGTTGGGGACCGTGGGCAAACCCGAGGACTCCAACGCCACCGCCACGCTCCTAAAACCAAGACACAAACATCAAGCAAACACAAACATCAACGATTATGAGGGGCTCCGGTCATCCATGAGTCCAAGTCAATGTCGGCCTTAAGAGTTTATTTGGTGGAGACATTAGATGCACAAATTTTAAACTTGGACTTGGACATATATTTATGTTTGAATGAAGACACCCCATTAACAACTAAATATTTCCTCTTGAGCTAGTTGCAAATATAGCGATCAACAAGCTTCAGTTTTGATTATGTCTGAATATTTAAACACTTCTCAGAATTGAAGTTTATTTAAAAAGGCTGAATTTCAGGCACTAACCCGACATTTAACCTGATTTTGTTGTTTTTCCTTCTTTTGCAACCCTACAGAAAATGGAGTAATGTTTCCTGTGAAGTTTATTTTATAAACAATGGCATTAAAAAATACTTAAAACTTTAAAAAATATTCCAGAGTTAATCCAAATATCAGCTGATGTAAGCTCAAACAGGAAATGTCTGGCGTTTACGCACAAGAAGGAAGTAAAATAATCCTAAAGTGTGAATAATTTATTTATAGGCGTTTAAACTATTATTCATGTCCAGCAACCTTTTTAAAGGCTTGTGCTGCTACTGGGATGTTTAAATTAATCTGCTCAGCAGATAATTTAACTTCATTAGATGGGTATTTCATTCCACCTCGTAATAAACTCATAAAAACTAACAAACCAGCAAACAAAAGGTTCAAAAAAATTCATTTTAGATCCAAAATCAATAAGACATGCATGTTTATGATGGGTGTATGTAAACTTCTGACCTGCACTTCCACAAATGGAGCTCCACAAACATAAAACAAAAACATTTCTATTCAATTCTAACATTATAAGTTAATATAATTTTTTTGTATAAGAGATTGTGAATTTAAATTTGATGTTTGGCTCTCAGAAACAAGTTTTCCTTTCTTTTTGTTTTTAAATCTTCTCGTCTGATCACTAACTGTTTGTATTTTGTCAGGACTGACGCAGAGCGGCGGCCTCGGCCAGATCAGGGCAGTGAAACGGACCGATGGGAGAACGGTTAGCCTCTCACGAAGGATTTCAGCCTTTTTAAATCCTGTTTTTATAAGAAATATTTAAATACTCAATCCATTAAACAGAGAGCTTAATGCCACTTATTCTTTGAAGATGCCTCATCTTTTAAGATACGATCAGATTGATTGACGATTTAAAGAAGCTCTCTTTTAAAATGTGAAATTCCCATGAAACCACTTTTAATCAATCTGCCTTCAATAACACATCATCTGAGCCTCTGATGTTATCACCTAGAAAGATACACTTAATGCTGAGAGAGCTTCAAAATCATAGATTTGTTTATTTTTGTTCATCTAAATGATATTTTCTTTGTGTGTCACCTGTTTGAATGCTGACTCTGAGCGGAACGAACGCTCTGAGTGTCTCCATCTGAAGACGACTTCATGCTGACGCTGTCGGCTCCGTTCCCGGGTTTCAGGGTGGCGCGGCTGCCTTTCTTACCAATTTTCATCCGTCTACACACACGCCCACACACACACACACATGCACAGAGACATAGAGGTTATCTGCTGTGCGGATGCAGCAGATCTAACTAGTGTCCATTACTTCACAGCCATTACAGAACTCCACTTTATTACACTGATTTTGTGGATTCCCCAGAGGAAATATACAGTAGATAAAGTTTAATTTCAATCAAATTGCAATTATTGTTCCATCTACTTACAGACATGAGGTGGTTTTATCAGCATTCAGAAGGAGATGGCAAGATTTTTAAAGATATGGCAGATGTAGAGCTAGCAGATTCATCAGCGACAAATAACCATAAATTCATCTGGTTGTTATTTGTAACTCATCAGAAGATTTTGAAGCTTCACCTGCTGGTTGGACATAAATAAAAGTTTAAAGCTTGTTTCATTAAAACCTTGAGGTTTGTTTGGGTTTATTTCCATGTTTTTTATTTGCTTATCTTGCCGACTGGTTTCTTCCTATTAGTGTCGTTTTCGTCTTTGAAACTTAAAGAGATGATTTTCATGTTTGCTACTCACCCACTTTCCCCCCTTCTGTTGTTGATAGATTTTAGATGTATGTTGTGCCTCAATTTGCTTTTCATCTGGTTGCACCCAGAGAGCTGTTTCCATCTAAAGACGCTTGTGATCCGACTGTGAGCTCAGAGAGAAGATTTCTTTTTCTTTTTCAGTTATTGTTAAATTGGGGGACTGGAAATAGTGCCACAGCAGCCAATGGCAAACTCTTTTATATTTTCTTGCCTCCCACAACGCTGTCCCTAATCAAACAGTGCAACAGAGCTCATATTTTATACCAAAGGAATTTAAAAGCAAAGATTTTTCTTGCGTTATTATTGTTTATACCTTTATTTCTCTTCACAGCGCCTGTATTGTTGTCCTGCCAAGTTGCTGGAGGATTAAACATTTACTGAATCTGTTATGCTGCATAGCATGCTATGTTATGTTATGATATGTTGCTATGCTGTTTTACATGATGCCATACTATGACACTCCATGTAATGTTGTTTTATTCAGGGATGCGCTATGCTGTGTGATGCAATGTGATATTATTTCATGGTTTTCGGTGGTAAACAGCGTTATTTTCTGTTCCAAGTTTAAATCCCAGCCTGGGGAGTTTTCATATTCATGCATGTTCAAAATATGCATATTCCAGGTTAATTGATAAGCTCTATTTTTTCCTTAGGTGTGATTGTTTGGGTTTGACCTGTTTAAGATGACTAATGGCTACTGGAGACACTGGGCTTCATTACCCTGTCATCCTAGAGACAGAGGATGGGTGCATGTCATGCAATGTATATTTAACTTATATCAAGTGCAATTTGTCTTCTTAACTTTGTATTGCACCCTATGATCATCGTTTCAGCCAGTTATCACCCAATAAATATGACAGTTAATGCTTAAATCCTTACATTGCACTAAGAGTGGACATAAAAATATACATTAAAGTTGTCTGCTCTCAAATCAGGTATAAAACATTTCACTGGCAGGTTTCCCATGGCAGATGGTTTCATTTTAGGAGAGAAAAAGTTGAATATGAAAATGCAAAACAATCAGCGTGTCTTTTTTTTTATTATTGTGATGTGTTTTACGTTTATTATATCACGTTCTACTTTACAAAATTCAAACTTGAACAAGAAAAAAAAAACATGTCAAAGTGGAGTACTACTACTACTACTGCAAATATCTGATTTAAAAAAATACAAATCGTTTTGCTTTTGAGAATAGCTGAAGCTCGGTGCAAAGTTCTTTGCCATCAAACCCGTCCAAACATTTATGATGAAGCAGATCTGTTTCGTGCTGGTATCGTTTTGCGCCACGCCTTCAGAGACCACCAGACTGCAGCCAAGATGAGAAGTCATCACAGCTGGCAGAATCCAATTCATGTTTCTTAGCTTGAGAAAATATATTTTAAACTACGTTCCAGGCCTCTGGCAAATCAAATAAATGTCCATTTGGTCATTTCAAAGAATCTTAGATTAAAGAGTGCACTGAGCTCAAAGCCAATTTGATTAGATTTGAGGTTATATTATCCTGTCTGCATGTTTCATATGCTGTGTGGCAAAAAGAAAAAAAAACAACAAAACAAAACAGAAATAGTCAGACGTTTGCATTTATTGGTCCATCTGTAGCTGATTGTGACATATGTTGACTGTCATTGGTCAGATAGGTTAATACTGCACACTGTCACAACACTTATTTCCTGCCAGAGCCACATTGATTTTCTTCTCCATGTTTTTATGTCGATGGTAGGAGACTGCAGGAAGTCTTCTCGGACACATCTAAAAGATTTTCAATGCGGTGAAGGCCTGGACTCCATCACGGTTGTTTTTCATGTGAAAATGCATCACAAGCCCTTCAAATATGATCATAAGGATCTTCAGGAACCCGTGTATTGGAATCTTACTTGATCTAAATCATCCATGAATGGAGGTTCTAGATAAATTCATTCATGTAGAAAAAAATGTAAAGTTTTCATTTTTCCAATATCTCATTTGTGGTAGATTTACGTCAGTGATGTCAGTTTAAAGAATGTGAATAAAGAAGCTGATGGGAGAATGAAGTTACTTAATTATCAAAGATTATATTAAAGAGCTTGACCATTTTGAGTTGAGCTGCTGCCTCCTCTTTTCTATTCTGGATGTGAATTTCACTGCATGAGACATTTGCAGCCTTGGTCATATTCTTGCAGCTATAGTCCCTTTCATGAGACACTTGCAAACTGGATCCTGCACCATGTTCCAAATTATTATGCAAATTGGATTTAAGTGTCATAAAGATGACATTTTTTGCTGTCCTGTTAAATTTATTGATGGTGTTGTGTGTCAGGGCTCTTTTAGTCACTATAATTAATTTCAGAGAGCTGGTTGATTAGTTTGTCTGCTGAGCTCAATTAAATAAAATCTACTTAAGAAGGATGTTCCACATTATTAAGCAGGCCACAGGTTTTAAGCTGTATGAGAAAGAGAAAAGATCTCTGCTGATAAAAATCATCAGATAGTGTAGTGAATATGACCAGGTATTAAAACAATAGATATTTAACAAAAACTGAAGTGTTATTGTACTATGAAGAGATTTGTGGTTGATTCAGAACAAAGATGGGTTTGTACAGATAAAGACTAATGAGGAAGGTTTCTGTTAGACAAATTCATCGGATCAAGACAGCAGCTGTTAAAATGCCCTTACAAAACAGCAAATAGTTATTGCTTAAAATTATTTAAAAGTGCATTTTTGTTGCAATTTATATGGAAGAGGATTAGGGCCACTGGAAAAAAATGAAACAGTTCTGACTTTTTTTCTCAGAATTGTGAGATTCAAGTCAGAACTGTTTTATTTATTTATTTTTGTTAAATATTTTTTTTTACTCCAGTGGCCCTGATCCTCTTCTGTACTCTTCTGTAAATTTTAGATACACTTTACATTAATTTTTGATAAAAATGTATCTACTACTCATAATTGCTGTATTTTTTAAAATTATTTTTAAAAATTAACTTTCAGACTAGTTGTTTGAATTTATTATAGACTTTAATACATTATGTAAAGCAGCATGTTTCCCCCAGTGTGTCAAAACGTTCCTCACTGCAGCAACATCGCCATTTAGCAGATGGCAAACAACTCAGCGGTAGCAGCAAGATCCCTTTCATATTCATGCATGTTGATATTACTCAATGTTATCTACTGTTTGAAATAGAAAAACACAAACATCTATCTAGTAAAAATGACAGGATGTAAATATATTCAACATTGCTTGAACTACTAGGCAAGTTTTAAGCTTGAATCTTTTTTCATAAATTGAGGAATTTGCTCTGACTTTCCTGTTTTTTTTTCTTGACTCTTCAAGTTTAATCCTTCCCTGAGTCCTTGAGCTAAAATCTGTCTGACCGGTGTAAAATACTGACTGCTCATCACTCCATCCAGCCTCACTACACACAACTATTTCTGCTGTTTTCTCACCCTTTCTTTCTGGCACCATCCATGATGTTGCGCACTGCACTTCTGTTGGATTTCGGAGTGTCTGGTTTCTCCAAATCAGAGGACGCTGACAGGTTTTCTGTTGACTTTTTTTCTGCACCTTGTGACCAAAAACTCTATTAATTAATAAAATCTGCAATCGTACAGCAAACAGCAGTCTTAATGGGTATAGTTATGCCTTGACGGTGTTATCGTTCAGGCATTAGCAACCAGACTTACTTGGTGGGGCGCTCAGGATAGTCTGCTTGATGACGTCACTGCTCAGCGCTTTCTGCTCGAAGCGCCTGGACCGTTCCTCCAGGAACCACTCTCCAGTCACCACCTTCAGCTCCCTGTTGTAAAAACACACAATCCGGGACACAAAGACCAGCGGGTGAGAGCCGAGCAAAGGGTTCACTCCTTCCAGATGGGCTCAGTGTCATTACTCACATCAGGCACTGACAAAGGATTGGGTTTTAAGTACACGACTCAGAGACCGAGAAGAAAAATGTGAAATGGAAAATGCAGAATTTGGACCGATAGAGAAAAGGATTGCTCAAAAAAGATTAAAGATTGTAATCTTTAATCCTCATTTTTATGTCCATTTCATGTCATTTTTTATTCACAAGCCAATACAACAAACATTAGTTAAATTATTTAAATGATGTACAACTACAGAAGTCTAAAAATAAAGAATTGAGTATTAAAAAAATCTTGTCCATGTTATGATGAAGCTGAAATTAAGGTTGTTAAAACTAGTAAGCATTTTTTAGGCTGATGTCTTGATTTTGTTTCTACTAAAATAAAGAATCTGTCTAAAATCACTGTGCAAAATGCTTTATATTCAGCTGTTTTTTAAATCTAAAAACCATTTGATTTGCCAAGATTCAGCTGGTATCAAAAATGACTGCATGAACAATGAAGTCTGGTCACGGCGGCTCATGGTTGGTGGTTGTCACTGTAACTTATCACATTGTCCACAGGCGGAGCATTAAGAGAAAGCTGCTGTCAGGGCAGATATAAAAAAAAATCTATCATCATGAACAGAGTTCACTGAAGCGCCAATAAATCTCTCCAAGTTCGACACAACCGGAGTAAGATGAACGAGACTGTGGTGAAACGACAGCTGACCCACACTTTCAGAAATAAAAAGTGCAATAAAATGAAGCAGAAAACTTTAAAAGTACAATAAAATAAAAAAAATTTGTTTTGCTCACTCTGGGTGTAACTCCAAAAAACCCTAAATAAACACCTAAACCTTTTGGTCTTTTTGCGTCCTTGATAAAAAATAAAAGCTTTCCATCATAATTGATGTTGAGTCAGACATGCAGAGTTTTCAGTCAGTAGGAACAGAAAAATGTCTTTGCACTAAATACCCTAAATTACCTTTTTACATTTTATTTCAGGCTCCATTTGGCATCCGGGGAAGTGTGGCGATTTATTCCCACCCTCATTAGTTGGACACATAGGCTCTGCTGATTTCACTAATGATACATATGCTTTATAGCATATTTAAAAAATAAATAGATACACTCTCTGAGAAACTGCAGCATCCAGAAGGAACAATCTAACATGAACGTGAATTGGTGCATTTGCAGATCAAGGGTGCATAATGTCTGTGAATTCACATGCAAAGAACTGGAACACATAGAAAAACAACAGAGGACATAAATGGAGGCATCATGAATTAACAGATAATCAAACAATCATTTAAAACAGAGCGGAGGCCAGCAGTCACAGAAGATGCATCAGTGATGCATTAGACGACGTTACCAGCACTTAATGAAGATAAATGGGGGGGTTGTTGCATTTTGGCAATCCTTCAGGATGAACGGCTGTAATGTGGTGATAGTGCAACATGTGAGAAATACAGATTGAACAACACGGGAACCAACAAGGCCCTTAGGTATGTGGTGTAACCCGCAACATGCTGCGAGGAGTGAAGACGTGTTTTAACAGGCAAACTTAAAAACCTTTGGGTTGGAAAATCAATCTTTAGAAATATTGTTCATGTATGTAATAGTTTTGTTCAATTTTTATAAAAAAAAAAAACATTCAAATTTGTTATATTTTCTTAAGGTGCATCTCTAACTTCGGGTTCAAAAGTTATTTTAAAAAAGTAGCTTTTTTTTTTTTGCAGGAATGTCTTTCAGGTCACAATGATGCTGGGATGCATTGCTGATCCAGATCTGCTTCCTTGGATTAATCCCCTCGGCAATTATCAAACTGCAACACTCAACATTTTAAATCTCTGTCACACAGCTGAGGGCTATTGGAGGCAAACAATCTATGATTTTTGTTATGTTACACATTTTTGAACAGTTGCTTGTGCCAGCATGTCAACACGTCAAACATGTGAAAAGTCCCATGTTCCTGGTGAAGCTCTCTGGTTATTGTACTTATGAATTGTTCATAAAGATACAACACATTTCATTTAGGGTTAGGGTAACCCTTAAAAACCTACATTTTTGTCCAGCTAATTAGTATTTTAAGGTATTTGTGCATTTGGCATGACAACTATAACACAACTAATGAGCTCCATAAAAGTTTAGAAACTGTCAACAAAAAGTTTAGAAACTGTCTGATTAATGGTTGTTTTTTGGTTTGTAAGGATCTTTTTTTTCAGAATTAAACACAGCACCAAATCCCCTGAGGCCCTGATTGACAAATGGGTGCAGATGTAGGATCATTAATCAAAACCACACATGTAGAGTCCATCCCTCCTCTCAGTTTCTGTTCTGCCTCTCCATGGCCGACACACTTACGAAATCTTGGCACAGACGTTGCATCTCCACTTGCGTGAGCCGGCGATCGTTCCACGACAGTCGCTGCAAACGCGCAGCCGGCATTCATCGCAGAGTTCGCCACGGTCAAAGATCAGCCCTAACGTTTTGAGGCAGCGAGCGCACTGCCGCTCCTCAGAGTCATGAGGCCGGCGGGAACCTTTTCGCTTGATCTCCAGCAGGTCATTTTTTAACTTTCTGCAAAGCAGAGAGGGAAGAGAGGGAGATAAGCAGATGGAAAAAAGAAGAAAAGAGACTTTTGGGGTTTAAATCCTTACCGTATCCTTTTCTCCTCACGTTTCCTCAGCTTCTCGTCTTTCTGTAGCACCTTCAGGATCATTTCCCTTTCATGCTCCAGCAGAAAGGACAAATTTAAATCCTCAACAGCTTTCTCCATTTGTTCCATAACCCAAATCAGCCCCAGTGACTTTGTTTTGAAGAAGGAGTCAGTAAGGACTACATTTTAGTCTTGGGCTCTATGATGCCCTGCAGACAATCGCGTGGCTCCTCTGCTGTTGCCATTGTCCAACTTCCGATTTACAAAGCTCTGGGCTGCAGGGTTTGCTTTTGAAGTCCAGAAGGAAACCTGTAAGACATGAATGAAATCCTGAAAAGATCAGAAAAACAAAGACATACATCATTAACAAGTATCTATGGATTGGAGTTTTAAAAAAATCTTTTAACAATTATTAATAAATCTGTCTTTTGTCCATTTCTAAAAACAAGAGTAAAAGAGGAACTGATAGTAATTGGTATATATCTGACAGCTCCACAGCGCCTCAACAACCAACCAATTAAACCTGGAGTACAGCAGCCATGTTTCTCTGCTTCCATTAGCAAAACCTCCACAGCATTTTCCTCTAAAAGCCATGACCAGACTTTTACTTGTTATCAGTACACCTGCATGCCAGTGGATACAGCAGCAGGGCTTTTTACCGACTCCGGAGACCACAGCAAGGCTGGAGATGTGTCTAAGTGAACCACCACCGAATACTCTGGTGTAAATTTATGTTAAAGAGTCACTGAGGCAAGGGGGGAGGCCTCCAGTCTTGTTTTTCAATTCAACAAAAGTATTCTCCCATCCTTCCAAATCATTGCTATCAGGTGTTACAGTCACTTCCATGGCTGCAGGCATACAAACTCCAGTAGCGAGGGTTGCAGCCAGCGTCTCAAAACATTAGTGAAAAAATGCTTTGAGGCGTTAATTGAATGACAGCAGACTACCATGAAAAGATGCAACCTGTACAATACATCCAGTTGTCTTACACAAACAGTGATTTGGAAACCTGGGTTTGGTAAGTTGCCTGACGTCACTATGTGAAGCACAAAGTTTTGTGCGTAGGGGGTTAAAATTTCAGTGACAGAAAGTTTTACCACTACCAAGACATTTTGGAAAATTTCACGCTTCCAACTTTGTAGGATTAGTTTTGAGACGCCCTCTTCTAGTTCCAACATGGATGCACACCAGTGCATAAAGCCATGTCCATGAAGACATGGGTGACTATTGTTCGACTCAATAGAACGGCCCTACTACGATCACCATGTCCCTTCACCAGGTGAATGCACGTTAGCACAACAGACTCTGCATGCTACAGTTCAGCATTTGGAGTTAACTCCATGTTTTATGTTGCTGATTTGCCAAACCTGAAAGATGTTAAGGTTTGGAAAAGGCACTGAAGGTGCGTTTCATTTCTTTTCTATGACTTCTTTCTCACAATTTGCTTCTTTCACTTCAGATTCAGGGTCATCACTTTATTGGAAACTGCAGCTATTAAATTGATTGCATAGCATATTTGTTTCAATGCAATAACATTTGGGAAACAGTGTAACTGAACAATTAACCCTCTGATGGATGTTTTCACAGTCATGATTACAGATGGTCCACTGAGAGTGATAAAAAGCAATAAAAATGTCCCCCCTTCATGTAGAGCGGGAATGGTGAGAGGCTTTGATTACTGCTGATAAAAGAGGAACTGATAGTAATTGGTAGATTTCTGACAGCTTCACAGTGCCCCAATAATAGTAATCATGAGTGATTCTCATCTCTGATAAATAATGTGTTTTAAATCAGAAAACAAATCAAGAATATTGTTTCTGGAGCAGCAGTTCCTGATTAAATAAACAAATGGGAAAAAAATTGCAGAAAAAAAAAAAAAGTCACCTTCTCCAACCATCAATAGCTTTTGAAACCAACAGAGTAACGTGAGCAGCAGAGCATTTATGAGGGAAAAAAAATAAAAGCCTTGCCTGAGCCTGGGTAATTGAAGTTGGGGGAATAAAAATTCAAAGGAGAACAAGTATCAGCATAAGCTCACACCAGCCTCCTCCACTCCTCATTCATCCTCTTTCTTCTCTTGCCTCTTCTCGTCACTTTACATGAATTAGCACTAATGAACCTGCATCATCAAAACTTCATTTGCAGCCAAAGGCACATCATGAAATCAGTGATTATGAGCATTTTAAGCGGCTCTGCGCCCAATGAAGACATCTTCCTTTTGAAGCTCGCCGTGCTCAGCGACTAAAGAAAACAAGAGCGGTTTGAGAATCCTGCAGATCTGAATTTCATTACAGCTCTAAATACAGACTATTGATAGACTGCACTCAGCCATAGCAGCACTTGAACTACATCCTCAAGTCACGTATGGATTATTTTAGCAAGCAAATATGATTATATCCAGGAGAAATAGTAAAATAATCAGACATTTTATTAAAAAGCCTCAAGTTGAAAATGTTTGGACAAATGAAAAGAGAAAATCTGCGCTTCAGATACTTTTTACCAACCCCCTCGGTCTTTAATTATCTTGTTAGCTGTTTCCAGCCTAGAAAAGGTCAGGTAAATTAAAAATCATTATTCAGACTCTTCAAACCTTTTACCAGCAATCAGCAGCTGTGCGTTCATCCAAAGCAGCTCTTCAAGACTTTGAATCTTAAAAGTTGTGCTACTCTTGTTCTAACAGAAGAGCGATTTAAGCCATTTTTATTATTTCAAAACTTGTTGAGGGGAGAAAAGAGACATGTCAGCTGTTGGTTTGGGCTTCAAGAGAGAAAAACTTAACATTGGTGACGCAGTCAATGGTGCATCTTTTGTATTTTATAAAGTTGATTTTATAACATAAATATCAAACCTAGATAAAAAGGTAATTGTTACTTAAATAGCTCTCTAAAAAGGTTTGAAAGTATTATGGATATTTTCATCACAGCTATAATAATATATTATTTCAACAACAGTATTGATTGCAGCCTTTTTGTTTTAAATAAGACGTTTTCATACATATTGAACCATTTCCAGGCCCTAGATTGTTGAATTATATTTATTAGATTGTCTGCAGATGTAGAAATGTATTTCTGTGACTTTTAAAGCTTTGTGATTTATTTGTTTATATCTTAGTAGATAATCCAAAGCACCACAGCTAATAAAGTTTATTAAGAATATTTAAAGCAGGAAGCGAAAACAAATATCTGGACAAAAAAAATACGTCACCTCAGCCTGCTGAACCACACGATTCTCCTGGTTGTCTGGGCAAACATGACAAACGCTCTGTAAACACTGCCAATAAAGTGAAACTAATATTTATCTGAGCTTCTCTGATATTACAGAGGAGCTATGTTAGTCTGCGTGTGTGTGTGTGTGTGTGTGTAGGGGTGTTGTCCTGATGGTGCCCTCCCTAAGAACACATGACACACATTCCCGGTGCTGCTTGCTCTGCCCTGAGTAAACACGAGTGTGCTGCAAAACCTCCCAGACGAGGAATCACACTTTCTCCTTAGCTCTGCACCAAACGACGGGGACTCTCAGCTTTTTAAACATCCTGGTTTCCACCTGTTCCACTAATCATAATCTAAGCAGTTTTGGCGTCTATTGGTTGAATTGCTGCTGATCTGTGTTGGAGTATCTGTCCATGGGGCCAGAAAGCCGACTTGTTGGTGTTTTGTAACTCTTGCCAGCTGTCAGTGTGGCGTTTTCTGCAGGCGGCGAAGCTCACAGGCCGCAGAATCAATCTGCCAAGCAAGGACCGCAGGTGAGCTGCAGACAGCTGGTCTTTGCTCTGCAGTAAAGCAAAGCAGGAACGAGTAAAAAGTGAGCAAAAACAGTCAAAAAAAAAAAAAAAAGTAACCTTGCAGTTGAGCCTCAAGGTGACGCGATGCTCTCTGAACATTTTGTCAACATTATACCCAAACTCTGTTTGGGTATAATGAAAAAAAAAAAAAAAAAAAAAAAACTGTCGCTGATGAATTTCAGCAATGCAGTAAAAAACAAAAAAAGAGCCCAGAAATATTCTGATTAATCTGTTTGAGAAATATTTTAAAGCTAAGTAGAGCACAGATCATTACATTTGAAAATCATAGTTGTTTTCTCTTTTTGTACAATGTGTGTTTTCCCCCCAGGCCACGTCGTTTTGCTCGTCCCTGCTGCTGTGACAAACAAAACAACAAACATCTGTTCTCTCAAGGTGTTTGTCATTTTATCCTTGTTTTTTCAGCAAATGTGTGTGACTCTCGGGGATAAAGTTTGCCACAAGCTGGAAGTTTTGTGTCAACATTGACAGCATATTATGGATGCAAGTAAGCACAAAATGTAAACATGACACTATTTTACTCTGCATATGCTGATGCATCAAGACGAGCTGAAAATGCAGGGTTAGGTTTATAAAACAAGTCATTTTAAATGATCTAAAAACAAAAATACTCCATACTCTCTCACTATTATTTATTTGCACATATAAATAATCTTGGTGGCCCTTCCTACATTAAAACAGAAAAGCTTAATTTGATGTAACGTGGTAAAAAGGTCATGTTTCTTTTCAACCGTGTCTGTAAATATCTGGTTTCCATCGGCTCCTCTCAGCCTTTCTTCCTCTTCTATTTTGCTCCAGCAGTTCTTGAAATTAAAACGTATTTCCATGTCTGCAAACTAGCTTTAGATGTATTTTTTTCTATATTTAAAGTCAGAAGCTGTAATTGTTCTTGAGAGTTATACAGAAACACAGATTTATTTTACTTTTACCATGGAAACATGCTAAATTAAAAGCTCCTCTACTTCTGGCAAGCAAAAAGATTTGGAAAGTAACAAGCAGGAATCAAAAAGTCTCTCTCATTAGCTACACACCTTCAGTCCGGATTTGTTATTAAAGTATGTCCGTACTGAGGTTTTATTTGCACTGAATCGACAAAAAAAAGCTTTCACAAAACATTTTTCTCTGCATTTGTGTCAAGAAAACAAATAGATTTTTCATTTGTGGTCACTGTTTTCAGCACACTTGCAAGACTGAGACATTAGACGACGTGTAAGTAGTTTATGAGAAAATGTAGGTCATGCTGAATCCTTATGCTGAAATTTTTATTCCTCCTTCAGCTCCAGCCTTGTTGTTGCTGCAGAATGATTCCAGGTTGTTTGGCCTTAGAGACAATGCACATAAATCAAACCGTGGCTCATTGGCTGTGAATTAGAGGGTTGTTTTTTCTCTGTGAGAGGTTAAAGATTTTCCCCTAAATGTCTCCAGTCACAAAGGTTTAAACTAAATTACATAGATTGCAGTTCCCACAGAAATGCCTGTAAAAACAGGGAAACCAGGCTGGGAACTGATG